TGAGAAGCACACAATTACACAAATAGATAAATCAGAACTCTGTGTAATGAATATGTTGTAACATAATTCTAGAGAGTAAGTTTCTAGTGTCCTGATTTTTTTTCCTATTTGCCTCCTGCCTTCTTACTATAGAAAAAAAGTATTTTCAATTATATAGGGTTATTGTCATGCAACATGATTTCTTTCCACAGAAATGATTCACTTTTATGGTATAAAGATGATATATCTCATCAGCATTTTATATCAAAATAACATTTAAATCAAGCATGCCAAAATTGCATATACTAGTTGTAATCATATACTTCATCTATGGCAAATGACAATAAATAAGTTACACCAAATAAAAGTTCCTTGAAACCATTTCCTCCTGGAATCAAGTAAATGGGAAAGTAGCGGATTAGTACAACAAGCCTTGTGTCTTCACAAGTACTGTTGATGTTTTCCACTTGGGTATTCCAAGAACAATCAACATCAATAAAATTTTCTGGGGTAAATCTGTCTCTCCACCTGCTAGCACAAAATGAAATGTGAAGAAAGCAGTCACAAGTGGTTTCCACCTACTGAGACATAGGCTTCTTCATCATGTTTGGCACTGAACATTGTGAAAACAAGTTCCCCAGAAGCTCAAATAAGCAAGCTCTTTCATCTTCCTTGACAACTAGAAAGCTGAGTAAGCCAACTTAAATCATTTACTGAAGGTCATAGAGTCAAAACCAGAGATTGTAATAAAATATTTTTCTGTCTTCTCAGATTGGGTTCAAGAACCATAACTACCCCCATGTCCATGTTTATTTTATTTTCTTAATTAATTTATTTTTAATTTTCAACATTCACTTCCATAAGATTTTGAGTTTTAAATTTTCTCTCTCTCCATCTCCTCTTCCTTCTCCAAGATGGCATTCAATCTGATATAAGCTCTACTTATGCATTCATATTAAACATATTTTCACATTAGTCATGATGTAAAGAAGAATTAGAACTAATGGGAGCAACCATGAGAAAGAAGAAAACAAAACAACAAAACATAACAACAGCAACAAAAAAGGAGAGCAAATAGTATGCTTCCATCTGCATTGAGACTCCAAAGTTCTTTCTCTGGATATGTTATCTTATATCCTTGCATTGCTGAGAAGAGCTAAGTTTATCAAAGTCAGTCATCACACAATATGGCTGTTACTGTGTACAATGTTCTCTTGGTTCTGCTCATTTCACTCAGCATCAGTTCATTTAAGACTTTCTAGTTTTTTTGATGTCCACTTGCTCATCATTTCTTATAGCACACTAGTATTCCATTACATTCACATACCACCACTTGTTCAGCCATTCCCCAATTGATGGACATTCCCTCAGTTTCCAATTCTTTGCCACCACAAAAAGAACTACGATAAATATTTTTGTACATGTGGTTCCTTCTCCCATTTTTGTGATCTCTTTGGAATACAGCCCTGTAAGTGCTATTGCTGGGTTAAAGGGTATATACAGTTTTATCAAATTACTCTCCAAAATGGTTGGATCAATTCACTACTCCACCAACAATGCATTAGTGTTCCAATTTTCCCACATATCCAACATTTATCATTTTCCTGTTTTGTCATGTTAGCCAATCTTATAGGTGTGGTGTGGTAGCTCAGAGTTGTTTTGACTTTGATTTCTCTAATCAATAGTGATTTGGAACATCTTTTCCCATGACCATAGATAGATTTAGTTTCTTCCTCTGAAAATTTCCTGTTCATATCCTTTGACCATTTATCAATTGGGGAATGGCTTGTATTCTTATAAATTTGACTCAGTTCTCTATATTTTTTTTTTAGAAATGAGGCCTTTATCAGAGACACCAGCTTTAAAAATTGTTTCCCAGATTTCTTCTTCCCTTCTAGTCTTGGTTGTGTTGGCTTTGTTTGTGTAAAAAAAAAAACTTTTCAATTTAATGCAATAAAAAAAAAGAAACTTAAGCATGTTTTATGAGTAGCCAGCCCACAATGATTTCCTAGGATTATGATTCTAGAGCTGAAAAGGACCACGGAGGCCATCCAGTCTTATCATAAAGATGAGGAGCCCAAGAACCAGAGAGTTTACTGAAGATTATATAGGTACTAAGTGGCACAGCCAGGATTCAAACTCAGGTCGGCTATCTCATTTTATTCACAATCAAATTAATCAATGGAATCAGGAGCAGATGATAGATTTATTTAAAAGAAAAAAAAGTTTCTTACCTGTCAGCAAATGACTTGGGTTTTGTTCATTTTTTTAATGTACTGAATATGTACCCATCCATTTTGAGTCAGTGAATGAAAATTGTTTTTATGTTATTTGAATTATAAAAAAATTAAAATAAATATAAAACAAAGTGTCAAAATAAAATTAATAATATTGAGTTATTTTTTTAAAATTAAGACTACATTTCTGCATACCTCAGAGATTTAGAGCATGGAATTCTCACAAAATTCAATATAACAAAGGGTAAAATCATTGCAGTAAGTAGTAATCAGAAGGAAAAAAATGATTTTATTGCTCTGACGTTGACTGTGTAAACATAGGGAGCTCCTTATTTGAGTTCTAGTTTCCTCACTTACAAACATGGGAAAAGAATGTTGCTTGCTCTATCTGCCTGAATCATGAAAAAAAAAAATCCTTGAATTTCTGACAATAATCATTAAGCTTCAAGAATATGGGGACTATANAGAGCTCCTTATTTGAGTTCTAGTTTCCTCACTTACAAACATGGGAAAAGAATGATGCTTGCTCTATCTGCCTGAATCATGAAAAAAAAAATCCTTGAATTTCTGACAATAATCATTAAGCTTCAAGAATATGGGGACTATAGTATAAACTCATTTTGTATGTTCAATGAATGTTTTACAATAACTGATTCTCCATGAGAATTTGAAGTCTGCAGACAGATTGTGATTTTCTTCTTCACAATTTTCTCCCATTTAATAGAAAGACATTTGCATGTTCTTCACATTAGCTCATTTTAAAAATCAATAACACATTTCTATCTTTAAAGATTATTTCCCTGAAATATTTTTGAAAATTAGGCTTTACAGTAGGTAATCAAGCTCTTGGAGAAGTCAACTTCTGGAAATAAAGAATCAAGCTAAACCATTTCTCACCCTAGCATTAACCACTAACTAGTCTTACATTTTTTTTTCTAAACATTAATCAGAAACACAATCTATCTGAATAGTGGATTCCATAAATAAAACATTTAGAATCCAGCATGAGGCACAGAATATATTTGAAAAGGAAAATTTCATAACATAGATTGTGACCTTGTGTGCAAATGCAGTACCTGAAGTTCTACTTGTAGGGGATGAGACAGGTAGATATCTCAATGAGTACAGATTTGGATGTTGAGTCAGGAAGACCTGAGTTCAAATCTAGACTCATATAATCAAGAGGTATGTGATCCTGAGCAAGTCACTTAAACCTCTGTTTGTTTCCCTTAATGCACTGGGTTGTTAATTGGCAAACCATTGCAGCATTTTTGCCAAGAAAACCCCACATGGGGTCATAGAAGTCAGACACTACTGAACAACTGAACAAAACATGTAGAAGATAGTTCTGAGAAAGGTGCCAATCTTTGATTATAAGAAATTCCTGCCTTAATGGGGCTTATGTTGTGCTATTATACAAAATATGTTAAGCCTCCAATTTGCATATCATTTTCATTTTTATATCCCAGCTTGTAACACAATGTTATGATCTTAGTAGGTGCTTAATGAAACTGGTGAATCCAGTTAGGTTTGGGCTCATTAGCTCACATTCAACATGCATGACTCTGGCAGGATTTAATATAGGGAAAAAGAAAGAGCAGTGATCATTATCATTCCCTTCATTTTCCAATGTTTTTTTTTTCTTTCCTCTCTGCCTTTCCCACATAATGTAAACACAGTAAAGAGGACATAAAACAGATGGTGACTTGAAAGGTGTTTGTCATTCTTTGAAAATCAGTGGAATTAAATGAAAACTTCTCCTCAAAAGAACTGGTTGATATCCCTTCTAGATTCCACCTAAGTCTAACCCTAGGCTTATTGCAATTTTAGTCTATCACTGGAAGCATGATTGAAAATACATGAAAACACAGTGACTCAGAAAGTGTATTTCAAGGTTATTTTCCCCTAATTCAGACCCTTTGAAAAAAATCACTATTAATAATACAATTTATTCTCTTTTAAAATGACTACAGAAGAGCTCCAAAATAACCTTTGCAAAACATAGCTGATGGATATTATACTTTCCTCCACATACTTTATGGTCACTGTACTTCCCATGTCTGTCCCTTTGCACAGACTGGTCCCAATTCCTGGAATGTACTTCCTCTTCTCCTTTACCTCCTGGAAACCTTCATTTTTTTTTTCAAAAACTCTGTTCAATTTACATTTTCTGTGCTCCCAGTGTTTTCCCCATTTGCGGCAGCTAGATGGTACAAAGGAAACAGCACTGGTCCTGAAGTGAGGAAGACCTGAGTTCAATCCAGCCTCAGACCCTTACTAGCTAAGTGATCTTGGGCAAGTCACTTAACTTCTGTCTGCTTGTTTCCTCAAGTGTAAAATGAACATCCTCAATAGTATTTATCTCTCAGGATTATTGTAAGCATCAAATGAGAGAATATTTGTAAAAGGTCAATAATTGGTACTTAATAAATTCTTGTATCCTTTCTTCTTATTACACTATATATATTCTATGTATATTTTACTCTGTATATATTGTCTCTCCTCTAAGTGTCTTGAGAGTAGAGAGAGTCCCATTTTTGCTTTTGCATCCTCCACAACTAGCTGAAAAGTCCATGTTAATTGAAAGAGAATACTTTTAAATCCTGCATAAACAATGTATTTGTGTTTATTGATTGTTCTTAAGAATTGGATATAACTTAAGTGAGAATACAAGCATCCATTCCTTAATTGTACTTTACTAATTATTGATCTGATATATCTTGTTTTCTCTAATACTCACCTTTATCTTTATTTGTTGGTATATGTGTGTATGTGTGGGCCAAGGATCAAGAGACCAGCTACACAATTATCAAATCTAAAGAGACAGCTATTACTGCAGATGGTTTGAAACCAGCTTCGGTATATGTCTTCCAAATCAGAGCGCGCACAGCAGCAGGCTATGGTGTCTTCAGTCGAAGATTTGAGTTTGAAACCATCCCAGTGTGTAAGTCATTTTAATTACTGTCAGCTCATGTCTCTGTAATGGTTACCAGAAAAGAGTCAGTGGATCAATATCCTTGCAGGGGACTCTGTCAGTCTTATTCTCATTCACTCTCTCTGAGGCATGATCCCTTTACTTAAGAAACATTAGTCTAAGTTGGCGGGTTAGCACATCTGTCCCTGTTTCCTCAACTCATTTAGTCTGGTGGGAGATGAAACATCAGGAAATCCTTAAACTTTGGAAATGTGTAGACTTTGGTTTTAAAGAACTATCTATTCTTGCCACACTTTTATTCAATTGTTGCCATTTATTCGTTGCTGGTTGTTTTATTGTATTCTTCACCTATTGCAACCCTACCCTAGAAGTCTTTATGAGAGAATTCCATGTAGAGCCTTACTTATTGTGTGTCAGGGTAGGAGGGAAGACAATTCTCTCAGGAGCCACTCTGATTTAAAACACATCTCCAACACCATCAGTCTTTCCTCAACAAAGCCCTGAGCAGTATCTTTTGAAAATCTTGCTTCAATATTTCTTTTATTCAACAGCATTAAAAATACATTTTTGCTTGAAATGTTTATCAAAAATATTTATGATGTGCCCTCAAAACAAATAGTTCAAGAGGAAGAGATTAGAAAAATTGCAGTAACTGAACTTTATAGATGGAAGAGTCTCTAGTGTTTATATTTTTGCCTCTACTCACTTGAGAGCAACTATATCAGTATTTCATTAAAATTGCATATAAATGTAATTTCATTTGTAATTTGTGGTATACAAATATTCACATTATGTGTGTGTGTTTTAATTGTTTTTAAAGCATATAATATAGGAATCAAGAATGTGAAATCTGGAAGGTCCCTCAAAGGTATTTTACTCCATCCCCCTTACTTTACTGACAAGGAAACAAGAAAAGTGAAGCGATTTATATCTTCTATTTTAGAGAACAAAAAGTTGTTTCATGGTAAAAATAATTATTATTTGCCTTTATTTTTAAGGTGGCAATAATATTTTTTCTGAGAATCTAGTTTGGAACGATTAGAAAGGCTTTTCCATTAAATATTAATATTTAATATTATAGGTATTTTGAAAATCAATGTGAAATATGTCTATCTTAGTACTTCATATTAATTCTCTCACAGCAAGGACTTCTTATATCTTTATCCCCCAGAGTGTTCCCTCAGAATGTATACTTATTACACAATGAGTTTATCAATTCATGGATGAGCAAGCTTAATGATTATAGAGGAATGAATTACTATTTTAATTTATTACTATGTTATTTCAATAGAGGATTTTGTTTGGAACTAAATCTATTGAAGCTCATCTGTTAAGGTTTAGAAAGGATTGTGATCTACAAAAAAACAAAACCTATGATAGCTATTTAGGGGGCCATGGGAACTATACGTAGATAATTCTCTCTCTTTCTCTCTCTCTCTCTCTCTCTCTCTCTCTCTCTCTCTCTC